CTGGAACAGGCACATATTTTATTTCGCTATTCATATTCATACTTTCTGGGACTATTTTTCCGTTAATATTACTGACTTTAAAACTTCTAAACAATATTCCTTTCTCTATCTCTTAGAAGAGTATCCAGCCATTTTCTGATTTGTCTCTTCTTTTTTTTTTGCACGTAAATTATTTGTCTCGATTTTGCAGATATTTTAAAACACTTCAGCTTTAACAGTGGTATCTTTACGTCGTTTCATCTCATCATACCGTCAGCGGCGCTTATTTGGCCCCGGTATCGCTTAAAAGTATCTCACCCTATGATTCCTCCCGTGTCAATTGGGAAGTTATGGAAATATCAGGGAGTAAATTAAGCCTTAATATAATGTACTCCGTGGTGAATTGAGAGAGAAAAGTTACATTTCGTGATCATAAAAGAGTGTGTCAGTGTTCATAATCTAGAACATAACTTTTTTCAAAATGTAATGCGTCAAATTAGCTGAAATTCGGATCGGCCTTCTAAAATAATAGGACAAACACTGATCCTCTTTTAGTTTTTGAAAATATGTAGTTTAAAATGTGAACTTACTCAACATGTGCAGATTTTATAGTGCTGTTAAAGATAAAAATCAATTTTTTGAACTCAATAACTGCAAAACTATGTGAAAAGACAAGTTTGCCTTTTTATTTTAGTGATCGCGTCGAAATTTCTAATAATTTAATGCATTACCTCTTAAGAAAAGTTACATTTCACATTATGTACACTGACACACTCTTTTATGATCACGAAATATAACTTTTCTCTCTCAATTCGCAACTCATAGCATTACATTTGGACTTGGTTGTTTCGTCAAAGTACCAGCTAGAGGGCTCTATTTGTTATTTTTTGTTTAAACGGCTAGCTATTCGATTGCAAACAATAATTTATGAAAATAATAAAATTGGTTAATTAGAAACTTCGGCCGATATACTGAATGCCTTTAAGCCTACGGACAACCACGATGACTACTACCAGATAAGATACTACTAATTTTATTACTGATTGGGTTTTAAAGTAAAAGAAAATGTTGTAGAAACAATTTTTGGAAAATAAAGGCAAGTTGAGTGTGAATAATAATATAAAAGTGTCAAACGAATCTATGGTAAAGAGTGATTGTGTATACATGCAATGTTCAAGTAATAACGCATGTAATCAAAGTGACATTCGCGTAGAAAGAAGAGTTCATTGAATAATGTTAGTCATGTGACAGAGTAAACGTACAACAAGGAAGACCATGATATTTGCGTATGATATAATCTTCAAAGTCATAGAGGTAGTGATAGTGATAACACTATTGATAGGATTTTTTATAGACAAGCAAAATGTTTCGATCAGTGAAAACTTTTGTTCAAAGAATTTTCAGATAATGTTTTGAATGAAAGTAAGCAGCCGTCCAAATAAAAGAAAAGAGCTAAATGGATAAGTACGGAAAAAAATGCTAGCTAGAGAGCAAAAAAATGTAGCTAAAAGAAAAATGGCATCACTGACACACTATTAACGTAAGTGACGACAATATACGATAATGTGGACTTACTTATGTGATAACATCTCTATCACATTGACGTCAGGAGATCACGGATAGTCCATTTTTGTCAACGTGACGCCATTTTTCTCTTAGCTACAGTAAGCCATCTATGCTGAGTTAGCGGACCGTAGGGACCTCATACAATAAAGTTGGGCGTAGTCTAATGATTTTCTCCGACATGAATCATTACACTACTCCAGAATCAATGTTTCCATACAATTCCGATCCTATCGACGACCAGTTGAAACAGCACTCGAAGTAAAATTAGGTATCTAATTTATCATAAAGAAGTTCGATGGTTTTAGTAATACATATGAGAAATGGCATTTCAGGGTGACAATACAAAATAGACCCGATCAGTCACCTAGAAAATTTGAAAATTTGATGGTCATCATTCTATGCTATTTCTTACAAAGGAGGTTCTGATAAAGTTTGAATTGAAAGGAACTTTGGGTCTCTATCTAACATGATTTATCTGTCAGTTGATTAAAATTATGCACTACTTTTAAAATATTTCAAGTACACCACTTTTTAAGTGATTGGCATAAAAATCATCAATACAGCAGTCTTCGTTGAGCGATGTACTTTAATAATATTCGGGAAGAGACTTTTCAAATATTCGGGGAGACCAGTTAGTAAAATTCGATACATAACAAGACCCAAACAATAAATCCTACGCACAAGTACAGTAAGCCAACCCAGTCAATCATAACACGGTTGAAGCACTACGTCGAACACTAAACGAAAAATATAATGCACAACAGAGTTCATAAGCCTAGTTAACTTCAACTCAAGGTAACTAGAGAAGTCCGTGTAAACTGAACAGCAATACTTCAATAATTAAGCGGGGCAACACGAAGGCACTAACCAACAAATTGCGTAATCGATTTGACAGCAGACTACCCCTGTAACGCAAACGATGTAGAACTTTATGCACCCTAGAGCAAACACCAGAAATATGTATTCCACAAGAAGTCTCTACATACAGTTACACCCAGCGACTTAATACAACTCAAAAGTGTACATGGGGATCCCTAGAGAGAAGGGTACTAATGGTGGGGAGAGCACTCACTCCATTCATTTTTCTGCTAATTTCAGATTTTGCATGTCTTTTTTAGCCCATTAATATTTCTCATACTTTCCCCACTTGTTGTACCTCCTCACAAACACTTACATGTAATACTTTGGCCCCGTCAGAGCGGGCTTTTAACCAGGTGGCGAGAGATTATTTTTCGGGCCAAAGAGTTATAATAACAATTTCTGGTACATTTTTAATGGTAATTTCATTGAACATTGCTATAATCATTGGAAAGTCGTCTCAAAATAGGTTTGTGTTAAATGCAAAAGTAGTTGTGGCAACGTTGTGGCCCATCGAAAACAATCCTACCTATCTGAGTACGAGTCTGCTTTGATGGAGCCAAAGTGTTGCATGTCAGTGTTTATTAGGTGGTACGACAGGTGACGAGAGTATAAAAAATGTTGTTGAGAAGAGGAGAATATGCAGAGTGGAATAGAAAGAGAGGAAGAGAGAGAGAGAGAGAGAGAGAGAGAGAAAGAAAGAAAGAGAGACAGGCTTTTCCACCTGCACCACCACACCTCTACCTACTACCATTACATACACAGTAAATCTAGAGACAAGGGCACTTACAAGGGCTATATGGTAGTTTTTATCTGTGAGGTCACCAAAGCCGTTCACTTGCAAACGACAGAGAATCATTTGGCTAAACTCCTAATGGCGGAATTTGATCGATTCACGTCTCGTCTAGGATATTGTCACAAACTTTAAGCCTTGAAGCAAGTTTCTCTTTTCCAATAAAATTTATCAAAAATTCCTAAACTTGGGTACGGATTAGTTCTTTAATCAACCATCAGTCTTTTATTTTGAGGTCTCTGGGAAGCAGCCGTGCAGTCTGATGAATTCTGAACTAAGAGAATTGTTGGCAAAAGAGTTACTCTCGTAAGAACAACAAAAATCAAGAAATGAGGGTAGGCATGTTAAGACAAACACCTTAATGCTTATTGAAAACGTAATGTCCCTTCTAGTCAATAACCTTTCGGTAGTGTTGTTAGAATTTTCTTAGGAGAAGATAATTTAGCTAGAGTCACAGAAGTGCGAACTAAACACGCTATCCTGGTCTGCCTGATAGGCAAATAAGTGTTAATTATTCCTAACAAACCTAGATATGTATGATTGAGTGGGTCATTTCATAAAATAATTGCATTAGTTGAGTCAGGATGCATACGTTTTCATTTTCTTTTCTTAAAATGTAAATTTTAGTAAATACTATAATGTGTAAGCCATTCCAGTAGAGAGCCAATCCAAACTTTTTGATGTCTTTAATTTTGAGATAATTATCGCTTTTTCTGGTTGAATTTATTATTTTTTTTTTTTTTTTACAAAACAATTAAATTTTTTAAGTTGTATTTTACAAGTTTACTTAGGACAACGACGTAAAATCACTAAAATATAGTTTTAACTTAAGAGAATATCCAGACTGTCATGTTCATTTAAATTTGTAGCTCAAAGCTTAACGAAACTGATAAGGAAGAACATACTCCTAATGGCTGAGGAAACCTTCACCCATTCACTTTAGTGGAAAGTTTAAGATTCTAAGTATTAGCCTTACAAAAACACTTTGATGTACATGCACTAGCGTGATTGGTTTGTTTAACATGGTACGTCACATTCGTATGATGTGTCTGCGAGTGCGCTGCCGTACTTAGCTTAGTTGTGCTGTTACTTTGCGGCTGGCAGTTTGCATGATACTAAGACATAGTCTACATACACTTATTAGAGAAAGAGAGAGAGAGAGAGGGAGAGTGAGAGGAAGTGTTCAGGTTTTTCTTTCGCATTTTAAAATATACTCAATTGTTTCAAAATAACCTGTTTCTTTATTTTTCTCGACGTTAAAGAAAAAATTTTTCTCCAATATTTTTTATTCAGTAGCTATATTCAATTTAATCATGCTTCTGTTATATCCCTCAATTCTAGTTTAACTAATATGGTTTACCATTTATACGAGTATGTATGTATTTCAGTGTGGTTGACTTTGTCATGTCAATTTTTATCAACCTGCTTCTCTTAGATCTACATTTCCAATCCTTCTGCCAGAGATCTCAGCGATCTCTTAGCTTAAATATTGAAAAACTTATTTAAATTCAAACAGTATTCATTTGAAAACGTAGATTAAGAAAGCTGACTCTAAATAGAAATTAAAAATAACTATATGGAGTAGTATTTGGATACAAATTTATGAGAGAAGCTTAAATCATGTGATAATAACAAATTCGAACGAAATTCTCTCCGTGATAATAATATTATTTAGGGTAACGTTTATATTAAAATATCTGTTGTGGCATCTTATGTAAAAAATAATGGCACAATGCACGTTCATTACAAATACTTAATGTAAACAATACAGTTGCAATAATAGATTTAGCAAATATGTACTTACTCTCCATCTTTAATTTTTTTATCATAAAACTCTTCAACACTCATAACAGGAAGACTTGGGTAACCAACACCATAAACTTTTTTTTGCATAGCGTTACGAGTAATAATGACGGTTTTAAAATTATTTGATGAATCACTTGGTTTTCTGTTATAATTTTTAACCATAGTAGAATCATTTTCAGTTTTTGCTTTATGTTGTATAATAGTTTTTTCAGAAGCTATCAAATTTAGTTCATCAATGGCTTTATTAGCAAATATTTTAAGAAGGGTAATAAAGTATTCCCTTTTAGACTCTTCATCAGTGCAAGGATCATCTAAAGCTTTTTTTAATAAAGCTAATTTTTTTTCCAGTTCTTTTTGATACTTATACCGCTCTACTTTTTCGTTTCTTGTACTGACCTGAAAGTACAAATAAATTTTTCTACGATCGTGTATAGGATGTATGAAAATTAAATATGAAAAAATAAGAACTTATAAGATTTTAAATAAGTTACTCAGACATCTACATCGGTTAATTAAAAATGTATACAATTACAGGGTACTTCTGAAGGCTATCAAGGATTGTAACGATAATTCACATGATTCTGATTGCTTGATTAAAAAATTTCTAGACAAAGATGGGAAATACGATTTTTCATCAATAATCTGAAATCGTCCTTCGCATATTTCTCTACAAGTATCGGGTTGATTAACTTGGATTTGGGCTTGATTGGTTTCTTTAAATGTAAAGAATCGTATTTAACTACTCATTTTTCAGTAGAATAGCTATTTATTTGATTAGCAATGTTACATAGCTATAAACTTAAATCAATCTTGTCGATGAGGTAAGAAACTTTAATCATTTCCTGACTGCCTGAATTCTTAATCGTAAGAGTTTGTTATACTAAAGAATATTTATGTTGCATATGAATTTTACTTACTTAACAAATAAACATTAATTGAATGTACATAAGTTAGTTATTAGATTTTTTATTACTTTTTTCGTTTCACTTGCATCATAAATGTGCAAACAATATTTAGATGAGTGGACGTATTTTCAACAGATGCCTTAATCAATTATCTTGAACAAACAATACAAAAATTGAAAACAACCAAAAATTCTTTCCTCGTACACGTTTACTCGGAAGACTTGCACTCAAAATACTTGCACCAAAATTAACAAGAAAGTGTTTAAGACTTCTAACGTTGTACCCAGCAGGCTTGGCATACGCATACAACTACCTCGAGCACAATACTACGAACACAGCTGGGCTGCTCTAGCTTCTCTGGTACGACCGCCGTAATCCAGCACCATAGTCTTAAGTACCCCGCACAGCTGTTAATTTTCTACTCACTATTTTACTGGATCATCTTCAATAAGCCACTATAATGCCCCCTAAGGAGACACTACCTGTGAGTCCCAGAGCTACCACCCAGTTTACTTAAGGAAGGCCCGAAGTGCACCTCACGACCCAAGTCACAACTAGCCACGTGTTGCGTAGCCACTAACATGTCTCTAACAGCAAGGAGAGCACTTATGTATTGCAACATTTTTCTCAATAATAGCAATGGTAAGATAAAAGGTAAAGGCGCTCTCACTTGAAATGCTCCAACTTTTTCGTCGTCTGTCTGCACTAAAGTCCTGTGGCAGTCAAGAATCGAGAACAAGTGAGGAAGTTCAGTAGCGGTAGAGGGAAGTAATATTAGCGAGGCAAGGAAAAAAAGAACATCTGGCAACGCTATGAACTTTTTCAGCTGCTAACAGGTGTTCTTTACTGTTGACATGGTAATTATTTATTTGATTAAAAATAGTGTTGGTTAATGGATTGCAAATTCAAGACTACAATAAGAAAATAATGTATTAGTTGTGTTTTAATAAATGTACTTGTTCAAATTATGTGACTAAAATAAGTTAAGAAAAAAAAAAAAAACACAAGAACCTTTAAATCACCACGGATGCTGCTGGCAAAAAAAAATTGTTTTCTGGAAAAGATTATTGACAAAAAAAAAATAGATAGACACTCCCAAAGCAAAATGTTGAGTGAAAAAACAAAAAAGCTCGAAGTCTTGAAAATCTCACAAGTGAAATAAGAAAAGTCGATACTCTTGTTGATAATGAAAAAGTTATGGATATAAATTGTATTTTTAAGAAAATGTTTTGCAGGAGGTGTGATTGTGAACTACATTTGAGTAATATTATTGCCAAATGTGTCCAGAAATAAGGATCCATTGAAATTCTTAATGAAACATTCTAAATTATACAAAAAAAGATGTTTTCACTATTCATTAAATTTTAAAGAATGTAAAAAACAGCGTTTTTCAAGTTGTCTGCTGCAACCACATTTTTAACTACTTTTTAATAGACATTTGTAATGAGACTCGTTTACACTTTGATAATATGTTATTAAATAATATTTTAAAAAATGTCGTTTTTTTGTATTTTTGTAGTATTGTAAAGCCTTTAAGAAAAGCAGTAATATAATATTACATTTATGAGTACTATACTAAAATTTCAAAAATTTTTATCACGAGGAAACGTCACTATCGAACCTCCTTAGTATACCTTAAACATGCCATTGATCAACCACGATGAACGATAAGGCAGCAACGCTGAATAACGACTTCTCTCGACTAAACGTATACGTAATCATCAAACAAGAAATTTTGTGTCCACAATAGTAGCCACAATGATGAAGTTACTATTCTGAAATAGTTTTTACAAAAATTAACTTTAAATTGCAGCGCATTTTTTAGGGAAAAGGATTTATAGGGTAAGATTCAAGCTACTTTCTATTTAGACATCTGTCTATTTAAAATAATGGATTCGAGCATGTAACCAGTAAAAGCATTTTACAGATACTGACTCTTGAGCTCTTGGTTAAAATTATTTTAATTTTTTTTCAGGATTACTAAATTCCCTTAGCTAAGCTTTTCATTTGGCAAAAAATTAAATGAGAATCCAAAATCAGTGTTTGTTTGCTGTTTATAACGACATGTTGAAATGCTTAAATTGTGTTAAGCAAAAGAAACAAAACAAACAAGATTGTTTCATAAAAATCAAACTGAAGTTTTTAAAATCTGAATAAGGTAAGAAGATCTTTTTTTCTGTAACAAGAATAAGTTAGCTAAAATAAGACTTGCAACTTGTAAATCTCAACAGGTAGATATAAAAACAGTGTTTTGTATAATCAAAAAATCATTTCAAAAAATTGAGTCAGCTTGAAACTAGATTTATGTTTTGAAACTACAACTCGTGTAAAAAAATATATATTCTAGGCCCTCGATCATTAAAGTTGGGGAGCACGAGATTCAAGTTGACAGCGGGTAATGGAAAAAAGGTAGAACATCCACTGGTAAAGAAAGATGGGAAAAAGTGCGCAAAGCCGAAGAAGATATGGCAGGAAAGATATACAGAAAAAGAGGGTGATAGAAAAGAAAAATCAAGGTGCCAAGCGTAAAGCAAAAAGGCGAAGATACACGAAAGAAAGTTAAGGTATAGAAGTTGAGAGATAAAGGAGGATAGCAAGAGTAAACGGTGCATGTGCAAAAAATAAGGAGCTTAATTAACAGCAACAAGGTGCACATAGTACAAATCGTTGCGAAGACAAGAGGCAAGGCGTCAGTATTGTCGAAAACAACAGAAGTCAACATGACCGTAGAGCAACACAAGAAAGTACGAGATATGGTATCTAATGCAAAGCACAAGACGCAGGAAAAAATACAAAAACAGAGGGGCATATTTGAAAACCAGATAGGTGATTAAAAAAAACGAAGGAATGGTAGAGTAGAAGGGTAGTAAATGCGTTACTGATACGTGCACTAGGTGTTGAGTAACGTGACCACATACATGTAATTAATTAGTCGATGATTCGATTAATCGATTTTAATATTAGTGGAGATTCACCGCCTGCGCACTTCGCACACCAACTCCCTACAACTCCATCTCTAAATAAGAGTTGTGTAATGGAATATAACTACTCTATTTTCAGTCTTAAATTATATTTTATGTGATTTCATACCTTGAAAAGTAACAAACATTGCATATAAGATAAGATGATAATGCTTAATGTCTACGTGTTGATTTATCTCGGATCTGATACACTAAGCATGGATCCGGAATAGATCCTGTACTGATGATTCTTTTCATTCAGGACAGTATAAGGAACTAATTCAGATGCCTCACTTAAGATTCAATTCAACTTCTTCAATGAACAGCGAATACAATAGAAAAACACAGTCAAAAACGTCAATGCACAGTAATTGGGTCATTTTTATTCACTATGATTAACTAAGACAATATACTTTATCTCTTAGGCGATTTGAGACAATTCTCACGTGTTTAATAAATTAATCGTTATTATTGAATAGGCGCTTATTACATGCTTATTCAAGGCTTTTATTTCATGTATGAATAATTATACATCCACTAGATGACCCAATCTTGCAAAAGATACTTACGAATGTCTTGCACCAAAGATGCTTTTACATAGCATATTCTATCCATCGTCATATGCAATCACCCGAATGAAAATTAACGCAGTCATTTTTTTTTACAACTCATTTTATATCGCACTAATGGAGCAGAATTTTATGAAATATTGAAAAAGTTAAGGAAAAACTTTATAGTACATTTAAAGATGCTTCCCAAATTTATAATATTTTTGAAGGAGCATATAACGTTATGCTTCCATATTTTTTGCAAGATTTTTTATCTCTGAAGATATTTGTGGAAAAAATTAATGGCAACAATTAGAAAAAAAATCGTATTGAAAATGAAAAAAAAAATAGAAAAAATAATGCTTCATTACAGCTAAATTAAGTTTTCAAATTTTAAGAAAAATCACGCAATGATAATGGACTACCAGAACCAACTTTATCGATAGTTTGCGAAGATCATAAAAAAAACAAAACAGTTATAATTTTAGAAACACACTTTAAAGAATAATTCGTTAAGCTCATTAGTAATGAAAAAAAATTCCCAATGAAATTTTAAAAGTTGTTTTTTAGAACATAAATCCGATAAAAAAAATTACGTAAAGGAGATATAATTATTCGGAATGAAGCTTAACTGATTTCTAAAAAAGCTTTGAAAATTTTTGATAAAGCATTAATGACTTAAATAATAATGACTTGCCTTGTGATGGTACATTATTTTTATTTTGGAGGCGATTTTAGGCAAATACTTCCAGTGGTCAAGTATGGGTGTAAAACCTTCATAATAAACAATACTTTAAAATACATATTCGTATGGAAAGATTTTAAAATTTTTAAATTAGAAAATAAAATGCGTTGCAATGAATGAAAAATTTGCTCCATTGTTAGTAAGGATTAGAAACGAAACAATAAACCATTTAATATTCCTCAGGAATGAAAAATTGATAACATTTGTTAAATGTATGAAAACGAAGATAGTATGAATG